AAATACATCTATAATTTACATAGTTCATATTTTATCAAATTAATATTAGTTTGTTTTTTACCCTGTAGCACAACATCCASCAATAAACCCATTTCTGTGCGAAAACGTTCTTGAATGTTTTTTTTTTCGTTGTGCAGAACTTAGCTTTTGTGCTGGTGTTCTAACCTAAAATGTAATTTTTAATGTTTAATGTAATTATTGATTAAATACATTTTGTATATTATAACAATCTTACATACTTGCCAAGTCTTRCATTCCAAACGATATGAAACGTGTAACAAACATTCAAAGAATCGTATCCATGCGTGAAGTGTGGACAGTCCAAATTTCAACGATTTGTGGTTAATTAATCTCTTTTTTACCTGTTCAATATTATTCATGTCTTTTGGAGAATAACCACAAATGTAACATTTTTGACTTGAGGTGTCTGTCATGGAGTTACATACCTTTATGATAATAACAAGTAAATAAAGTAAATAATAACTCAAAATAAATATAATATTTTATAACTTATTTACCTTTCCGTCAACCATTGTAAATACCAAAGTATGCTTAACTGTTACTTCTTTACCATTAAATATTATGTGAGTAGGCAACAAATTTTGTATTTGGTCTTCAATAGCAATTACTTCGTGTAATGTAGTAACCTTCGTTTCTTTTTGGAATTTAAACTTGATTGGTCTACAAAACCGTGTAGAAGAAGTTCTTCTATTTTTCCATACTATATTTTTTTCATTAGTTTCATTAAAAGAGTGCAACTGGAGAGGGAGGATAGAAAAAAGAAATAAATCACTATCAGAACATTCATTTGAATTATGATACTGTTGTTTATATAAAGATTGTCCATTACTTCCATCACAACCCCATTTATATATAATTTCAAATTCTTTTAAATAATCTTCATTAAAATTTATTGAAGGAATTTCAAAAATTATTTTTTGAGGTGTGGTTCAAAAGATCTTGAAGTTTTATTTCACAAAACGATTCCGATATTATGCAGTTTTCGGGATAACACAATGCTTTTGCTGCAATAATTGTATCATAAGGTGGATAAATATCAGCATTATGTTGTTTCGCAGTTAATCGTATATTCAAATATTGATGTTTAGTTAAATCATTTTCAATATAAAATGCCAACGCTTCATCAGCCGTAAGTGGTATAATTTTTGAAGTGTCTAACTTGGCGTAAGACTTTAAAAAGTCTGAAGCTTTATCGGATGAAGTTACCTCTTTAAAAAGTTGGACAATATTTCGCTATCCAGCCAATGAAAATTTATTTTGTGAAGCGTAATGTATCTCAGGAGTTGTCATAGTAGAAGTAGTTATTGATATATTAATTTTCCGTCTTTTTGAACTATCTGCACATTGATTAAAATGTTTAATAGGTCTACCTTTATTTAACGAGGTTGAAACTTTAATATTATTGTGGTTAGATATTTTAAAGTACGAATCAAGCCATTCAGTATGCATTTTATTAAATTTATTATTATTCCGGCAAGCTTTTACCCATTTTTTGGATAATGCTAAAGAAAACTTTAAAATTGCACTTTCTACTGCTTTAATATAAAATCCGTTCCACTTCAAACCATTGAATTTATCTTGAATAAAAATAAACAGTAATTGTCTTGTACTAAAAGTTGACACGGATTGCATAGAACATTTATTACGTACCACTTCATACAGTTCACGATTCAAAATACATTTTTTATGCTTATTGTTAATTACGAGATCAACTGAAAATACGTAATAAAAACCGATTGAGCATAATCATACATACCAAAAAATATTAAAAATATATATACATTTTCTCTTACCTTCAAATTGGCTATCCATAATATCAATTACAGCTTATATTATATATTATATAAATTACTTAATTTAATAAAAAATATTTTAGTATGATAAAAGATTTAAAAATAATACAAGAATGTATATTCTCATGAGAATAAACTCTATAACTTTAAAAGTATATTATGTTAAATATAAATATGTCATTTCAACTGCACGTTGGCACAACTACAATCTACACACTGACTGACGACAAGTTCAAATGATTATTATCAATATAATTTAATTGATCGCCGTAAAAATTATCTTATCTGTTAATGACATAAAAATACCCAATTCCAATGTCAAAGTTAATAAATATCCAACACAATTCATTTTAGGTTAAATAATTTCTATGCGCTATAATCCCCTATTTACGCAAAAAAAAAATAACATTTTCAAAATCCTGAGAATTTACTTTATTTTATGTACAATGTACATATCAGATTTTGGGTAAAATTGAGTAATTTTTATTTACACGCTACAGAAAAAAAATCTTGAAATTTAAAAAATTTCCAAATAACTTTGCATTCTAAAACAAAAAAAATATTTTTTTTATCTGTCTAGTATCATTAATACACATACAGGAAATAACATTAAAAAAAATTATATTTCCCTGATAAATACAATATAAAGTATCAAAAATAACGAAAAAATCGTATAAAACGTACAATTTTTTCTACATTCTAATAATTACACACAAGGTAAAAATAAATGTATGATTGTAAAATTTTATATTTGAGTTAAGGAACATATGATAATAAGGTTTTGACATTTTTTTTTTCTGAATAAATTTTGAATAAGACTTTTGAGCGCCCAAAATTACGTTTCAGACCACTGTGCGACGCCACCAAAATTATTATGTATCTGAACACGTATAAAATTAAAAGTTAATATGAAGTATAATAAAAGGTTAGGTGTCAACTGTCAAGTGTTATCTGCTGTATCGGTATAGCAAATGATTGAACGGGCCACAGTGGTCTTAATTGTCTTTCTAGATACCCAAAATAAGTGTTTCATAAATCATAAAAAATGTAACGTCACAGCATTTTTCTTGGTTTTAATTATATTATTATATTACATAACACACATTACGCGCGACAAAAACTAGCTGGACTACAGTGTTATGTCACCAGTACACCGCACATTCCCCCCCTCTGCGAGGCWCCATCCTCAACACCAACGGCGGGGACCGCGCTGGCACTGTCGGTCGGGGCGGCTGCGCTACCGGCAACGGAGACAGTGCAACCTGTTACCCAATTATTGTAATATTGCACCAAAAGTCCCCCTTCCACCCGC